TAACTGAGCTTCTCTCTCACTATGAGAAGAATCTGATAATAGATTTAGTAGAAGAGTAGAAACTCTTCTGAGAATCAATTTATAAGCTCTCTTATCATGAGACAGAGATCTTGTGAATCTATATAAAGAAGAATCTGAAGAATGACTTTATCTGATCTTCACAGTTCTCTGTAGAAGCCTCTGTGATGTTTACAAAGAAGAAGAATGAAGATCTCAGATTGTATGTAGATTATTATAATCTGAACTTCAAGATAATAAAGAGCTGCTATTCTCTGTCTCTGATTGAGAATGTAATCAACTGTCTCATAAGAGCTGTTATATTCATACAACTGAATGTGATCAATGTATATACACAGCTGTAAATACAGTCTGAGAATGAATGAAAGACTATCTTTAGAACTGCACTGAGATTATTTAAATATCTAGTGATGTCTTTTAATCTGACTAATATCTCTACAGTATTTCAGTCTTTCATTAATAAAATACTTCATGTATATCTGAATATCTTTGTAATAATATATCTGAATAATATGATAATGTACTTTATAAAGAAGAAAGAACATACTGAGCATGTATAAAGTATGTTGAAGGTCTTAGATGAGACAGAACTGTATATTAAGCTCATGAAGTACAACTTCAGTACTCATTAAATTAATTTCCTAGAATATATAATCACTGCAGATGATATTCAGATGAAATCTTCACAGATTAAGACTATTCTATTATGATCAGAGTTAACTAGTATTTATAAGATTCAGATCTTTCTGAGCTTTGTGAATTTCTATAGATGATTTATCTTTGTATTTATAAGAATCTTCTTAGCTCTTACAGATATACTGAAGAATGAAAATAAGAAGAAGTTATTCTATAAATAGAGAATGAAAAGATTATTAAGAAGAGAGAACTGTAAGAACTTTCTTATTTCAGAAGCTTATAAGATTTTTACAAGATTGAAACAGATATTTATAGATACAGTGATACTGTTTCACTTTAATCTCTTACTCTTAATCAGATTGAAGACAGATGTCTTCTTCTTTACAATTTCAGAAATAGTCTCACAACTACAGTTAAATAAGAACCGAGTTTCAGTGATCTTTTTCTTACAGAAGATGCAATCTGTGAAGATTAACTATAACATTTATAATCAGAAGCTTCTTATAATAGTGAAATTCTTCTGCTACTGATATCACTACTTTGAGAATCTTATAACAGTGATTACTGTTAGAACTAGACTGACCGTGTGACCGTGTCTGGGACCAGGACCAGAATTTTTGATAGTCTCATTGTCAATTCGACAGATCCCATTACACGGTTCTAACATTAGATAGTAGTCTCATACTGTCTCAGTGGGACTTACTGTCTACTCTTGTCACATTTTCCAAATGAGACCATGATTTCCACTTCTCAATTTAAATTATTTTTATTGCTTTAAATGGCTTTAAATCTCATTTGAGTGTTACCAAAAAGCGTTACTTTTTAAAAAATTAAAAATAGTCTAAAAAAAACCTTAAAATGTCTAAAAATAGTAACTTTATGCCAAGAATGGGACTAAATGGGACCAAATGGGACCACTTTCTCATTTTTTTCAAGTCATGGTTCCATTTTGAGATCTGATATATAGTCACTTTGCATATTTATTTAATGATTAGTCCCAGCGGGATTCACGCCAAGAAATGTATGGGACCAGACCAAATGGGACCAAACGTGAAATTCATGGTCCCGGCGGCCAGTCTAGTTAGAACTGATTAGACTGACCGCCGGAACCATGAATTTCATATTTGGTCCCATTTGATCTGGTTTCATACATTTCTTAGCGTGAGTCCCATCAGGACCAAGCCTCAAAAAAATCTGAAAATGGACCATTTCTGAGAGAAATGGTGTGAAAAATGACCAGATTTAATTCAAGAACAGTGAAATGAGAGTAATTTTCCAGGATAAACTGTGAAAGATGATCATTCTTTTAAAATCAGAATGAGACTGAGACTGAAGATTAAAATCAGTCTCATTTAATTCATTCAGTGATTGCTTATATAATCAGAATTTGGTAATAATTATTGATAATGCTCATGAAACAACTAAATACATTCTTGTGCAAGTTTATTCTTCACTTTCTCATGAAAACTACACTTCTCTGATATACTGTGATCAGAGGTATTAAACTGTCTGATAATTTCATGTTTTATAATCATGAGTTTCTTGATTGTTTCTTCTTGTAATTGTTCTCAGTGATAGTGACAAATATCTTGACTTGAGTTGAACTTTCACTTCATTTCCACCCCTGTCAATGAAATTGTCAGAATATCATGCATCATCAGTGCAACAGTTGAATATATACTCTCAACAATTTTTTATAACTCTAGAATTGATTTGATGTGTAAATTTGTTGAATCATCTTGAAGATAGTGATCAAATTCAGTTTTATAAGCATGTAGTTTTGCCTGATTTTCAGTTGTAATCAATGTATGTAAGTTCTGTTTCAAAGTTAGTATTATAGTTCTATGTGATATGAAGTATTATCAAAGATTATTACTTACTAGAGAATTGTATTTCACTGTCTTCACATCTTGAACATCTGCTCATTCAAATCTCTGATAGTTGGTATTGTAGTAGTCTCAGACTAATTTAATATATGAGTCTCATTTCTTCTCTGTTCAATCTTGAGAAGTGTAGATATTAACTTGATGAAAGAAATCTAGTAGAGCTGCTACAGCATAGTACTCTGCAAAAGATTGTTCTATTTTGCTGTAGTAATATACCAGTTTATTTCTTACAGTAATAATAGCCTGTGCTATAGCATCATCTCAGACTGAATTTCTTTTTGAGTGATTCAACTGCTTCTCAAGATAAGTAAATAAACTGTTATACACTCATCAGGCTGACTGCAGTATTGATGTATGAGTGATTGAGACTGTCTTTATTATCTTATAAAACTGAAACAGTAAATCAATCACATATTTCAACTGAGTTCACTTCATATCAGAAAGTTTCAATATCTGAATCTTTTTCTAATCAGAGTGTTGCACTCAATGATTAATTATCTGATGCAATTGAAGAGTCTGAACAGTTATCTTATATATTGAACTTCACTGTGTTCTAACATTCTGTATCATATTCAGTGATGTGACTGATTTGTTTATTTATTGAATATTATGAAATTGTTGTTATTGTTTAGAAGAGATATAAATTGCATTAGCAATGTTTTGAATCTATGATATTTAAATTATTAGTCAATCTATTCAAAATTAACAGTAGTATTATCAAAAAGTGTTATTAAAAAGCAATATCAAAAAGTGTTATCAAAAAATATTATATTTTACAAAGTGAATGTAAAAGTTACTTGAGTAATCACTTTCATCTCATTCTCATCTCAAGAATCAGTCATCTCATTATTCTTTGTCTTGATATTAAGATTCTTTATCAGTGTTTGCATCACAAGTTGAATCACATGAGCAATGCAGAGAATATGACCTTGTTTATTATTTCAGGAATGCAAAGCCAATTTTTGCTTCAAGCTCTTCATCATAGTATAGTTATTTGCAGCATTGTCAGTTGTAATTGTAAGAAGACTGAGACTAATATCTCAATAGTCATTTTTAATCACAGTCATTAATATCTCTGTCATATAATCCTCAGTATGACTACTGATCAATGATTCAAATTCAATTAATATCTCTTGATAAGTTCAGTTCTCATCAATGTAATAACATATAACTCTCATAAATGCAAGATTGTTTATACTAGTTCATGCATTCACTGTGAGAGACACTCTTTGATGATTCTTCAACTCTGATTCTAGATATTGTATATTAACTTTGTAGTGTTTCTTGAGATTGAACTGAAGACAGAATTGATGTGAAATATGAAGATTTGAATTAAGCATTTGAAGAAGTGTTCAGAATTCAGGATTTTCAATTGATTGAAGAGAAAGATTCAGAGATATACACATGTGAAGTAATTATTCACAGAAGTTATCAGATAAGAGTTGTGAAATCAGAGTACTGATATAAGGTCATTTTTGCATGATTTTCTTCAAATTAGAAAGTTAGCATTATCAAAAATTGTTACCTGATAGAGTAACTTATCAGCTCAGTAGTAATTTTCTGATTATTTTTCTTTTATTATCTGCATTCTGATGACTTCAGATGTTGGAAAATTTCTTCAGAGCTATGATCAGTTCATAATGAATGTTTCTGAATGAAGTTGCAGTGATTGTAGCAGAGAGATGACTCTTCAGTAATCTGCAATACAATCTGTTGATAATTATTTCATAGTTCATCTTGATATTTGTGTTGAGTTTTTCATAAATTTTGTGACCTGGAATCAGATGTGAAGAATAAAGTGATCATTTATCATGATTGAAAGAGAGTATTCTGTGTTGAATTGTAAACAATATAGACTTTGTGATTCACAGTGATTTCTTGAAGAGTTTATGAATCTTCAATAGAAGTAAAAGAAGTGAAAGAAGTGAATTTAGAAGACATGATAATAATTTGAGAAAGATGATAATTTATTTTCAATAACTGATCACTGATGTGTGTAAGAAGAATTAATATAAGAGAAAATAATCTTGTTTCTTAGCTTAGTTATAATTTTAGTACTAACTCAGATTGAATATCATTAATGTATAAAAGTAAATAAATAATCTTGATTAATCTCTGTCATATTTCTTGAAATATATTAATATTGTGAAAGAGAGTGTTACTAAATTGCATTATCAGATGATATTATTAAAAATATATTAATATTGTGAATATCAATGTTGAAAAAATGTTGATACTTATACATTATAGTGATTTGTGAATCATGATAGTTAAATATATATATATATATATATATTGTTTCTGACTTGATTACAACTTATACAATAATTTTTAAAAACTCAAAATTAATTTCAATTATTAATAATTATGAACTTATAACTAACTAATATAAAAAGAAAAAAACTTTTTCTACTTATCATTTTTCTTCTCTTTCTCATTCTTCTTATCATTCTTCATAATTCACTTCTCATTCTTCTTCTTCTTCTTCTCCTTCTCATCTGAGGTGATAATCATCTCAAAATCTCTCTTCACTGTCTTCTCAGAGAAGAGTTTCTGCTGCTCTCTCTCAGTCAGGTCAACCTGTACCTTCAAATCCTGCATTTTCTGATCTGCTGTCTCAGGTTCCACTTCAGTGATAAGCAGATTAGCATGCTCAGAGAGCAGGGCTGCCTTCTCAATATTCTGAATCATGAAGTGTATTTGAGACCTGAACAAGGCCTCAATTCCCTTCTTCTCTGTCAGCTTCTGCTAATCAATTAGAGAACAGAAGTGTTATCAAAAATTATTATCTCTCAATAAATAAAAAACTTATCAGTTTTGACTTCTTTATCTTCTACTTTAACACTCTCTCAATCTTCTTCTATTACTACTTATTTACAGTAACACTCTTCTTCTCTCTCTCTCTCTTCATCTTAATCTCAAATTATTCTCAGAACTTCTTCTGATCTCACTACTGCTGCATGAGACTCTTCACTATCTTCTTCTTCAATCTCTCACAGATGATGTCATCTGCATTATTTCTATACTTAGTTCAGTCTAAATCTATCAGAAGTGTTACTTAAAATTGTTATTATTCTACTCTCTTACAGAGCCTCTTTAAGACATTATAATGTGTCTTATAATCTGTCTTCTCTTACTTAAATGCCTTCTTCTCCTCTCTCTTCAATCTGTAATGACGCTCATGCGCCTTGATGATCCACAGAACTGCAGAATATTTGAAGAAGAATGACATGATTGATTTCAGTGAGTGTTGAAGAGAGATGAAGGCAGAAGAGACAGTCAGAAATGATATAATAATGATAATAATAATGATAATGATGATGATAATAATGATGATGATAATGATGATGATGATAGTGATGATAATAATGATGATAATAATAATGATGACAATGATAATAATAATGATGATGAAAGAGAGAGTGTATTGAAATATATTACTGACTTATCAAATATAAAGAGACTCAAAGAAAATATTAACAGCTTTCAGTGATATACAGAAACAGCTACAGTGTTGTATAGCAATGTTATCTTCATTCAATACATGCACTGTTGATATTCTTTGTATGCAGTTATTATATAATCTGTATCAGAGATACATACAGAAAACAGATCTTTGTTACTAGAATAAATGATTGCAGCAATTCTCTATTTTTATATTATAAAGATAAGTTATTCTCATTTCTTTCTTCTCTCTTTTCTCTTATTCAATCAATCACTAATTTCAAGCTGATATGAAAACTATTAAAACACTCTCAGAAACTCTCAAATTGAAGAGTATAGACTAATCAAATTTCAAATGCAGAAGAAATCAAATTATCTTCTATCTTCTACAGATTCAATTATCTGTCTTCTTTTAAATAAAAGAGCAGTTGTGTCTCTTTCTCCCCTTCTCAATCAAATGAAACATGGCCTGTGAAAAGTGAGTATCATACCAGGTCATAATGACCAACACAGCTCCAGCACACAGAGCTGTATATGCACAGTGTGTGCTGAACTGAGAGACTGTATGAGTTGCAAACTGATGACAGCATCTCAGAGAGAGCTGTGCGGCGTGAGAAAGCTGCAACTCTCAGTCATGTGTGTAGAGAGTGAATTGCTGCAGTAAGTGCATGTGCATTGAAGTAATGCTTTTTAATAATACTCAGTCTCTGATATGATGAAAATAGAGTCTCTCTGTGAGATCTGTTTCTATTAGAAGTCTGAGAATCTTATATTCTTCAAGATCATCTTCACACATCTTGTCTGTGAAATTGATGAGAAAAATCATTGATTTCAGTGTTCTGCTCTTGATGTCATTCAAGTAGCAGCAGAGTTCACCCTGACTAGACTGACCGTGTGACCGTGTCTGGGACCAGGACCAGATTTTTTGATAGTTTCATTACCAATTCGACTGATCCCATTACACGGTTTTATCATTAGATAGTAGTCTCATACTGTCCCAGTGGGACTTACTGTCTACTCTTGTCACATTTTCCAAATGGGATCATGATTTCCACTTCTCAATTTAAATTATTTTTATTGCTTTAAATGACTTTAAATCTCATTTGAGTGTTACCAAAAAGTGTTACTTTTTAAAAAATTAAAAATAGTCTAAAAAAAACCTTAAAATGTCTAAAAATAGTAACTTTATGCCAAGAATGGGACTAAATGGGATCAAATGGGATCACTTTCTCATTTTTTTCAAGTCATGGTCCCATTTTAAGATCTGATATATAGTCACTTTGCATGGTTTTTTGATAGCCAGTCCCAGCGGGATTCACGCCAAGAAATGTATGGGACCAGATCAAATGGGACCAAATATGAAATTCATGGTCCCGGCGGCCAGTCTAACCCTGACCACACTTTTTAAGTGTATATTTTCTAATTATTCACATTTATATAGATATATACTGATTATTTATTAGATGATGTTAAGACAATAACTCATTACAGCTGTGTTACTCTCACTGTGAGAAATACATGATTGATGATGAACATTGTGAAGACTCTGAGAAGTGAGTATTTTAAAGATGCTGCAGCTCTGCAATCTTGATTTTTTTTTGTTTTTATTTTTTGTTTTTTTCTTTTTCTTTTCTTTTTTTTTTTTATTTTTCTTTCTCTTTCTGTCTCTTTTTTTCTTTCTCTTCTTTTTTTCTTTCTCTTTTTTTGTTTTTTTTTTTTTTTTTGTTTTGATTTTTTCTTGTTATTTTGTTTTTTGTTTTTTTATTATTTTTTGTATTGTACATTTTTTTTTAATTAAAATGATATTAATTATAATCTGTGTTCAGAAAAGTAATGATATTTGATAATACTCTCTATTGAATTTTCAATAAATGAGTACTATGTTATGATATTATGTAAGTGAGAAATGATTTCATGATCTCATTTGATGCCATTTTCAATAATGAGATTAGAATGAAAATGTAACTAAGAATTCAAACATATTCTTTATCTGAGACTAGATTTTTATTTGAAAAGTAAATCTGAGACCTTTAATATTTGAAATAATGAGATTTGAAATCAATGTGATGAACACAAATTATGATCAGAAGTAATGCTTTTAGACAATGTGATAACTGTAAAGTTTGATCCTGGTCTCAGACACAGTCACACGGTCAGTCTAGAACTGATTATAACAGCTTATAACAGTTTACTTCAATTAAGACACTTTCATAGTAGCAGATTCACTGAGCTCAGAGACTGAGTGAGTTCTGATTCAAGATAGAACATATCAAGAAAACTAAGAACTCAGTGAATGAACTCTCTCACAGATCAGACTATATTAAGAAGATCAGAATAACAGATATAGAGAGACTAGAGAAGACAGAAAAGCTTTATAAAATGCTCAGACTGAGTGTTGTAAAGAGATTGACTGAAGAGTCTCTCAATCTCTTATAAGAGAAGAGAGAGAAGAGAGAGAAGAAGCCTATATAACTACTCTCTATAACACTGAGAGTCAACACTCTGAAGATCTCTGTGAGAATTCTTGAAGAGAGTATCTATAATCTGAAGAGTTTGCAGACTTTGAGAAGTATTATAGAAGACCTGATATAAGAGAAAACAGAGTATAAGTCTTTATAAGATCTTCTATTCAGATTGTCTGAACTGCAACTGAAGAATGAATATACTTAGTATATTCAGAAACTGCTTATAACAGAGATTAACTCTGCAGAAATAAAGAATTAAAGAGACTTAAATAGTCTCTTATAAAGAGAGAATCAGATTTATATATCTATGAATGAGTTTCTATACATAGAACTTATTAAAAGACATCATGACTCTTCTCTAGTAGGTCATTTTATAGACACTAGAACTCATGAGTTGCTTATAAGAAAATACTTCTGACTGAAGATATAAGAACTTGTGAAGAAGATAGTGAATTCTTATACTATTTATCAGAGTTCACAGATAGTGCAGTTCAGATTATATGAAGAACTTACTTCTCTACTCATCTCATGAAAATCTTGAAAATAGCTAGTAATAAATGCTCTTGTGAGCCTCTCTGAAAGCAAGAACATATATAATACCTGCTTTGACAGTGTGCTGATAATAGTGAATTACTTCATTAAGATAACACACTTTATATTCACTCATAAGAACTTGAAGTCAAAGAATTTGACTTATATCTTTATCTGTGATATGATTCAGTTGCATGAGTTATCTGTAAACATTGTCTCAGATAGAGAATCAATCTTTGTAGAAGAGTTCTGATCTGATCTGATAACTATACTGAAAATCTTATGAGATCTAAGCACAGCTTTTTATTAACAGATAGATAATCAGATAGAATATCTGATAAGTATATTAAAATAGTATCTGTGATACTTTGTTAATTATAATCAGAATAATTGAGTGTATTGATTATTACTTATAGAGTTTATATATAACAACTCAAAGTATATCAGTATAGATAAAACTCTCTTTGAGATACTCACTGAAACTTATTCACAGATGATTTTGATAAACTTATAAGAGTATACTATAGAGTGTGATGATGTCTGTGAACAGACTGAGAGAATTCAGAAGATTCAGAAGAAAGTCTGTAAATTCTTAAGAAAGACTCAAGAGTATCAGAAGAGATACTATGACTTTAAGCATATTACAGAGAGTTTTAAGAAAGATGATAGAGTCTGACTGAGTCTAGAAAATATTATTATATGAAGATCTAGTAAGAAGCTGAATCTCTTACAGATAGAGTCTTATAAGATTATAAAGAAAGTTAGTTTACAGTTCTACAGATTGAAACTGTTATCTGAGTTATAGATATATAATGTTTTTTATATCTCTTTACTTTGTAAATATAAGAAATTCTTAGAAAAGAACTCTGTGACTCATTACTCTGTCTGTGAAGTATTAAAGAGTAAAAGAGAATATTAGATTAAAGAGATTATTAACTCAGAAAAGTGAGATTATGAGCTCTGATTCAAGATTCAGTGATAAGAGTATTCTGATAAAATAAATAAATTCACTTAAGAATTATCTGAGTAGATAAGATATCTGCAGAAGCTGAGATATGACTTTTATACTGTGAATTCTGATAAGTCAGAATAATGTAATCTTCACTAAGAATCTGATTGTAATAAAGATATTAACACTGTTATTTATAAGTTCTAGTTTATAAGATGATGAGTTTCTACTGAGATGAACAGTCTGCAGTGTATATAAGAAAAGAAGAAATTATATTCTTATTAAAGCTAAAAAACAAGAATATAAACAGAGTTATAAACACAATTTAGAGACTAATAAAGAAAAAATAAAGAAAACTCATATTCACACTTTCAATACTCATGACACTCAATCTTCTCATAACTATCAATTTCTTTCTTTAAAGAAGCAGAGAGTATTATACTTATAATACAGACAATTGTTGTATTTGACATGAAAACTGTCAGAAATGTATAGACTTCAGAAGAGTTAAATATCAGAGTGTATACAGTTACAGCAGAATCTTGAGAGCTGACTGTCTGCATATGTGATCAGATATTTCTCACAAAGCTGTATTTACTTTCTCAGTTATGCTGAAGTATTCAGCTTAGAAATAATTAAGATATAAAGAGAGAGCTTATCTACTCAGATCAACTTCTGTTATAAATTTATAACATTTACATTATCTTGATTATCTGAATTTTACAGATACTCAGAGACTTATCTTTTATTAATAATGAGATTGCAGAAATGTGCTGCAGTGTGAGAATCATTGATAGAGAATCTAGACATATTCACATATATCTGATCAGAGATTGTACAGGC